AATACCGGCGTCTGTGGTGTAGCAGTTAGGCGCTTCACTGCCCAACACAGGAGACCCGAGTTCGATTCACGATGCCATATCGATTATCTTGGTCTTTCTACTGCCATGCATCTCTTTCTGCCCGGGTTGACCCTGACAAGCACAGTCGGAAGCCTGTCTCCTAAATGGTTTAAATCTGTGTCGATGGTGAAAAAACAAACAAAAAAACCCCATCATTAGAGAATGAAAAGAACCGCTGTTGTTTGGGAAAATAATATGTTCACGGTTCAAGGAGTCACAAATTGCATCGTGACGCCACTTTATAGCGATGTCTTTTGAAAAATAACCAGTTCTCAGGGAGACATCACGATATGACAAAATAACCACACCCACTACAAACCCTATATCCAACCATCTTAATAACACAAGCCGCCTGGAGGCCTAATAAAAGTGAACTGAATTGAAAATCAAAAAGCTTCCAACAGTGACGTCGTTAAGGGTGTGTACACCTCGTTGTCTAAACTGGAGTTCTGGGCGTCAACTGACGTCATAGCGAGCACCCTCCCCCGCCATGGTGAGACATTTTAAACATAATATCTAAAAATAACCCGCATGAATGGGCCTTAGCTTGAAAGCTGGCGGAACAGGTTCTTCTTGGCCGTGCATGATCAAACACAGAAGTGCGTTCTCAGTTGCCTTTCAGCTAAACGTTTTTTTTTTTTTTTAGGCCCGCTCCTTGACACAAGAGTGCAATATCGTTATCTTCACTGAAGCACAAGCGCAAGACGAATTTATTTAATAAATCAGTTTGATTGAGTCACGTTTCCTCTCAGCATCCTCTGTTTTGATCTACCTTACTTGAAGTGATAAACGAAATATTATTTTGATCAGTGAAAAAAGGGACACTTTGTTGCTCTCTGTTGAAAACATTCTGTGACTTATTTTACAATTAATTGTGAAATTTTGTTCGCACGTTTGGAGGTGTTTTAATGTAAGTATAATTTTCAACATAGCCTTGATACTTTCATTCATATTCATGTATGTATTGATGCTTTTAACTTTAAGTTGTACGTTCACGTCACATAGTTTCAAAATAAAAACAACAAAGAATACAGGATAAACTTCTTCGCACTTTTTATAAATTTCAATTTCTTTGAATGAAGTGCAATTTAAGTGTGAATGTTTACCAAATTATCAGACTACATAATCAAGAAAATTTACTTAGCAAAAGACCTGCAGTGTTAGATGGGTTTACGATGTAAAGAGACAATTCAGTGAGAGTTTTTTATGTACTATTCCACGTCCCCATCAACACAATTTTAAAATTATTTAAGAGGCGGACTTCGACCTGCCTGCCAAGGCTAACCCAGGATAAGAATGATACAAAATCCTTACAGAGAGACCGAGGTACTCGTGAAAATTTCTCCTCACACGGAAATCGAACTCGGGTCTTCTGCGTGCTACGGTGAAGCGAGGCGCCTAACCGCTACTCCACGAACGCCAGTAGTTAAGGTTTTAATTATTTGAAAATTGTGTATATTTCATATGACCAATGCCAAAACGTCTCAAAATGGCGTTCTGGTAAAGTCTACGTCTTATTCGTGTAAGTTTTAATGTTTTCAACTCTCTGGTTTAAAAATGAGAAATCTGACACGGTGGAACAATTGATTGCATCTTTCTTAATTAATGATATCAACGTGCCAGTTGCGTCATTTGGCGTGAATTGCAATGTCCGCGACTGTCTAGAATGAGATACATTTAATGCGCACTCGGAAACAAGATAAAAACTATCTGCAAACTTCTGTTGGCCCGTTAGACTTCCTGTAGTTTGCAATATGGCGCAATCTTTGGGATTTTCAGTGGTCGGCCTAATGCGAACTAGTGCGTCATGCTACAAAAATGGAGACATAGCAGAAAATGGGTTGTTTATTTACTTGTCAAAACTCTTTAGTAGATTTATCTAAAGTGAATATCAGACAAATTCCTTTTGACGTCCAAATGTTGTGAACAAATTTGAAACTCAAAACTTCTGTGTGGAGGAAAATATTAACAAAAAACGTTGTGCAGTTGTTTTTTGGTTGTTGCTGTTTTTTGTTGTTTTTTTTCTTTTTATCACCCTGTATGTATTCTTAGTAGGGAATCGAGCAAACTTGATTTATGACACTCTTTTTTCTCATCTTGTCTCTTTTTGTGAAGTTCAAAGTTTTTCGAAAGGCATCTCAGATTGCTATTGGGTGGCGTTTTCCCCCCCCTTTTTATACTTTATTCGATCATTGCAATATTCACGGTCGACTTGCTAGACACTGTCATAACTTTCCTGGTGCCTCTGTAGCCGTACATGTCAGAGTGACACGGGGTGGCCTTCATGGCTACCACGGCACACCCGCACCATACTTATTCCGATCCCAGAGGTGTGTGTGTGTGTGTGTGTGTGTGTGTGTATGTGTGTGTGTGTGTGTGTGTGTGTGTGTGTGTGTGTGTGTGTGCGTGTGTATGTGTGTGTGTGTGTGTGTGTGTGTGTATGCATGTATGTTTGTGTGCTGTGTGTTTGCTTGCGGATGTATGCGTGTCTCTGTGTGTGGTACAACAACTGAGAAATTTGAATGTTATTATTAACGCTGAGCCATTTGTGAGAGGATTTTTTTTTTTGGGGGGGGTTGTTGGGGGTGGGGGTTATTCCCCTTACCTTTTCATTATGCATTAACGAAGAGGAACTCAACTGAGATCAATATCTTACTTCAACTTTAAATGTTTCCTTCCGCTGACACTGTTGGTTCAGTGTCGCGGAGATAGACACATGTCTGTTTGCTGCTGGTCGAGTAACGTGGAGGGTCAGGTTGTGGGCTCTGGGTGTCCTTTACAGAGGCAATCCAACGACGTCTCTCTCTCTCTCTCTCTCTCTCTCTCTATCTATCTATCTCTCTCTCTCTCTCTCTCTCTCTCTCTCTCCCTCTCTCTCTCTCACTCTCTCTCTCCAGCCAGATTATTTTTTCCACAATACAGGTTCGATGTTTCGACTAGTAGCCTTCTCCAGGCACGAGCTGAGAAAAGCTGAGGGGAGTGCTAAACCTTAATGTGTTGATGATGATGATGATGATGATGATGATGATGATGATGATGATGATGATGATGACGACGACGATTACCGGCTTCTTAACAACTTGAAATGCATCTTCGTGAGGCCCTTACCCTCGTAGTCATACACAACACTTTCCTTTCTTCTCAGAAACTCCTGATGATCCTTTCAAAATCCTAACTTAGTTTCCACTGTCTTATCACCAGCTAAAAAACACCCCCAAAACCAACAATGCAAAATCAATGCAGATTTCTCGTCTTTATCGACCCAACTTTTCATCATTTAGATGGCAGGGTTCGAACTTACCTATCAGGGCAAACCCGATCTGAGAGGGACAAAGCGTCCCAGGAAAAAGAATGAGATACTCCATAAAAATTCTCCTTACACGAGAATCGAACTCGTGCCTTCTGCTTGAGACAGCGATAAGCGCAGAACTGCCACACCAGACTGTGGTCTCACCTGCTGAGCAAACGCTGCTATGTCATTCCCCGAAAAAAAGGAACTGCAGTGGTAGACTTGCTGAAAAAAAAATTGTTAACTCCAAAAGTGCCTTTTAAAAAAATAGCTTAGCTTAGTAAGAGCGTTTAGTGGGCTCTCGTAGCCTAGAGGTTAAGGTGTTGGCCTCTCATTCAAAGGTCCCGGGTTCGAATCCGGGTAGCGACCGAAAAATTTTCTTCTCTAAAATTGTCTCCTTTCACCTCCTTTCCTGCTCTCTGGCAATATTCTGTCGTCTGCTTTCGTCTCCTCTTTCTGCCCCTTACCCCCTCCTCTGGGCTCCTGACTCTTTCTGCAGCCTTTCTACTGTTACTCCTTGACTCCTTCTTACAGCTGTCTTTCTACCACATCCCTGATCTTCTGGTAGGAAAGATCTACACCTAGCCTTCTCGGACAAGGGCGAAAAATCTCGGAGTGCCCGTGGGCAAGTTGCGCACGTTAAAGATCCCTTGGTGGTCTAAAATCGATAAGAGTAGGCTTCGGCCGCCACCCGGGCAAAATTCAAAATTTCCTACCAAAGAAAAAGTATTAGGTGTGTCCCGCGCGCTCATATGACCTTATGCAGTTGCGAGCGCCGTAAAACCCTATACTAAACAAACAAACAAACAAGAGCGTTTAGGGCGTTCGCAGTTACACAGCACCTCTTAAGAACTACAAAGTTCTGTCTGATATTTTTGGTCGTTTTGAGTTACTTATTAGACCATGAGACCTGAAACCAATAATATAAAGGTTCTGTTCTATCTTCTCTTCCAAAATCGAAAGATCAGTTGGAGTCTTTATCAAGATGTTCCAAGAATTGCATTCAAAAAAGTATAATTATGTTGTAAAACTCAACAACTTTTTTACGTTAAATTTCTCAAACTTAACTTGGTATTGAGCAGATAGAGCTGTGTAATTCTCGGAATATGGTAACATGAACGTGCATTTTTCTGGTTAGAGGAAAGTTAACTTTAACGAAAAAATAAACATGCAAGAGACAAAGAATGGCTCCATCATTAGGATTTTATCAGCAGGTCATCAACTCTGCATTACTAGTACCTTTGTAGTTTCATTTCTCGTGGAATTACCTTACTGGTGCGTGATCGTGTGCGTGATCGTGTGCGTGATCGTGTGCGTGATCGTGTGCGCTAAGAACTTCAAAAATAAATATATGTGGCAAAGCACCCAATGTAAAACATTCTATTAGTCAGAACCCCGGTGCAAAAGGAATGTACACCCAGTTAGCTTGCATAATATTATGCGTGAGGAAAAAAAACCCACTGATCAACGTGACAAAACAAAACAAATCAAAGAAAAACGAAGAGTAAACACCGCCATGTCAGAAAGCTAGCTACCGGGGGAAGGAGCGTGGAAGGTGGTTAAAATGTTTGCGTCATAGATTTGCAAATTGTATAACGATATTATCCTAGATCGGGCACTCCAGCGTGATTTCGGTTCATTATGGAGTGCAACATTTGTATGTTTTTAACGCCTCTGTCGACACAGTTTAAATCATTTAGGAGGCAGGCATCCGACCCGGTCTGTCAGGGTTAATTTGGCGGAGAGGCATACAACATCACAGCCGAAAGACCGAAATGCTGGATATATATTCTCCCCACCTCAATTGGGAATCGAATTCTTGTCTCCTTCGTGTGACAAGAAAGCGTCTTACCGCCACACCACAGACGTCGGTGCAACATTTTACTAAATCAGGAGCTGAAAAGGGGAGGGGGGGGGGCAAGTTTCGCACGCATAATAATATGCTTTTTACGAGACTGGTGTTTTACCTTTCATTTAGAAGCCCATGGTCCGCTCGCTTCATATCGAAGTTTGGATAGACAGCAAAAAGAGGTGGACATAAAGGTGTATGGTCTAAGGAAAAATATTCAACTCCACTGTTTGCTTAAAGATATCATATTTCGCTTCGAGTTCTGTTTTTGCCTTGAGAAATGAAGTCTACCATACCACCCTAATACAATCGTATTATTATAAACGTCTGGAGGCCTCTGATTAAAATTGCAGGCTGCACGTCGCTTTCTCTGTTTCTGCCCCCCCCCCCCTCTCTCTCTCTCTCTCTCTCTCTCTCTCTCTCTCTCTCTCTCTCTCTCTCTCTCATTCACTCTCACTCCCTCTCTCCTCTTTCATTCTCACTCTCATGTCCATACTGTATTCACGATGTGCATGTGTGTTTGTTTTTGAGAGTGTGTTTGTGTGTGGGGGGGGGGTGGGGGTGGGTGTATGTGTGTGAGAGAGAGAGGGGGGGGGAGTGTACGTGTATGAGAGAGAGAGAGAGAGAGAGAGAGAGAGAGAGAGAGAGAGAGAGAGAGAGAGAGAGAAAGAGAGAGTATGCCCATCCTTTTTCAAATGACTTATTGTCCACTTAAGATAATATTAAATACCTTCTCTACTGTCTTTCTCACCCACAGAAATACAGATCATGGCGAGAGTCACGGACACCTTCGTTCTTGTTGTGTTCCTTTGTTTAAGGTAAGTCTCTACGATGTTTGTTCGAAGAAGTTATCAGCAGTGAGGTCACATGTGTCAGACATGGGAGCCTTCTTACCCTCATCGGCATAGCCAGCGTGTCCCCATTTACATGAACAATCTCAGTCTCCACCCCTCACCCCACGAGCTTTAGTATATTAAACAGCACCCTGCCCCTCTCCTAAGACCACCCAGGGTGGGCACACGCAGCCCACGTTCGTTTATGGGGAGGACATCACTGCCACGAACTCTGTTACTAAAAACGAGTATAACCTCTTTGTGCTTGTTTGATTGTTGTATTTTCCATAGTGCAATGTCCCAACAAAAACACACACAAAACAAGAAAAATCTCGAGATACTCGAGAAATTCTCTCCTCACAGGAATCAAACTCGCGCAATGGCGGAGCGCCAGACTGCTTTGACTCGGCACACTTTCTAGACTATTATATTTGAATTAGTGGCAGCGTAAAAATGTCTTCTTTAACCCCCAACCTTTTCTTTTAAACTCTAAATCTTTCTAAGTACTAGTAAGTACTACTACACGTAACCCGACTCTTACATGACCATAACAGTTTCTATAACGCCACTAAACTATACTATGACTACAGTGGCGTCCAAAAGAAACTTGAAAGTGTAATCACCATATCATCTGTTATAGCCTTGCACTACTCATTCACGCAGCATACCAATTTAAAGCTAAATAAATTCTGCGTAATATGATACCTTAATAATTAATCTATGTTAAGAGACGACTGGGATATGGTCACTTAAAAATGACCTTTAAAAAAATCAGGCTTGGCAAAATTGTGCGAAATCAAGGAAGGGTAAAATTGTCTTCGAGCGTGTATGTTGTATTCACGAAGAGAGAGCAATCACAGATACCACCCAAAACATGGATTTAACAATAAATGGGCTCACTGTTATTTTGCTTAGGAACCATTGGTTTTGTGTAGTGCACAACCCTATTTGGGCATCAATTCTGTTACATTTTGGACATACTTATCTGTCATTTCATCCCAAATATTACTGAGAGTTGCAAACAAAGGGTCTGAACTTGGAGTAAAGTCGCTTTTCTTCAGCTGTTGTTTCATGGGACTTCACATACATATAGGATTCATTATATCGGGGCTATTTACTGGTGACCACTTCAACGTTGCTTTGATTTGGTTTCCCAATAATTGTCTAGTGGCATTGGCCCTGCGAGAGAGTGATTTGTTATGTATGGGGATGTCTACTTGAATGACACCATAACGAAAATAAAGGTAAGACATGACGTTTCAACACTTGCGCGATGTAGTCCACAAAACCAGGCCATCCGGTGATTCTCACGAGGACGTTTTGTTAATTCCATCCCAGACCACACAAAACCATGGCAGTTTCGTGGCCTCTGTTCCACACTGACAGATGATTATGTCCACATTTAACAAACACAGTCCACGGGGAAAAAAAGGTTTCGTGCTCTACACAAAACCAATAACTCCTAAACAAAAACAAAATAATACTAATGAGCACCTGTGATGTTAAGTCCAGGTTTTGTGTGCTACTTGTGACTGCTGTTCTCCAATATGTTTTAAAATATCACCAGAAGATGCTGTTCTTTGCAGAGACAACCATATGATCTTTTCATTTGACATTTACTACACATACGGGGAATCAGCGAGACCCACTTGAACTAGGCTGGGCAAAAGCGAATGAACAGGGGGGGGGGTTCATTTATTCAGGAAATGACATTGATAGACCACACAAGGAAGGAGTAGGGATGGTCATATCCAAAACAACGTTTAAAAAGCATTCAAGGGCTTGGGAGCGCACGGTCCAAGGATCATCATGGCCTCATCTGGAACTAAGAAAGAACTCAAGGAAAGAGATGGTAGGAAGAAGGTCATAAACATGAACATCATACAAGTGTATGCTCCAACCAATGATGCATAAGAGGAGAATAAAAATGACTTCTACAACCACCTGCAAAGTGTGATCAACAAACTTCCAGGTAAGGACATCAACATTGTCATGGGAGACCTAAATATAAAGGTAGATTTGGACCTGTGAGGAAATCATGGGGAGACATGGATTAGGAGAGGCAAATGAGAACGGAGAAAGATTCCAAAACTACTGCACATTCATCAACTTGGTTATTGGAGGAACAATCTTACCACATAAAAGGATTCAAAGGGCCACTTGGGTCTCCCCGGACGGAACAACGGAAAACCAGATTTACCATTTTTGCATCTCCCGAAAGTTTAGACGCTCACAGGAGGACGTCCGAGTCTTACGAGAAGTAGACGTCGCCTCTGACCACCATTTGATCCTTGGAAAGGTGAAACTGAAACTGAGAAGGCATGTACAAGTCACAACTGGAAGTCGTCTAAAGTATGAAGTGAGCCTTCTGAAAAACTCAGTAAAGAAGAAAGAGTTCAAGTTGGAACTGAAGAACAGATTTCAAGCCCTTCAAGATCTGGATGAATGTGAAGTAAACAAACACTGGGACAAGACAAAAAGAGGCAGTAAATACAACTTGCTAGAGCACCCTAGGATCCAAAGACAACACCAGGAATAAATGGATTTCACAGGACTCTCTAGACAAAGTCAAAAGAAAAAGAGAGCTTTAGGCCCAAGTCAACAACAGCCGTTCCCGAAGTGAGAAACTCGCTGCTCAACAAGAGTACACCGAAGTAAACTGGGCGGTAAAGAATTCTATCAAAAAGGACAACAATACCCATCTGAATGGTCTTGCCGAAAAGGCAGAGAAAGCAGCAACAAACGGACACTTGCGGATTGTACACCAAAAAAACTCTTTCAGGTAGGTTCAGCAAGCCCAATCTACCAGTGAAAGACGAAGAGGGAAAGACTATCTTCAACCCAGAGGGGCAACTTAACCAATGGAGAAAACTCTTCGATCAACTCTTGAACAGACTACCTCCAGATAACCAACCAGAAATTCTTCAAGCCAGAAATGACCTCCCAATAGTTACGGAACCATGAGAGAGGAAATTTCTGCAGCTATAACATCACTGAAGTCCATCACGGCAGCTGGTCCCGACCTTACACAACCGAAACCCCTTAGGGCAGATAAAAATACATCAGTGAACATTCTCTGTGCTCTATTTGAAAAGTTTTGTCAAGAGAAGGAAATACCATCAGACTGGAAAGAAGGCCACCTAATCAAGCTGACAAAGAAGGGAAACTCAGCAATTGTAACTACAGAGGCATTAACACACTCCTGTCCATACCTGGGAAAGACTTTAACAGGATACAGAGAATCAAGCAGGCAACAGACAAGAAGCTCCGAGGAAACCAGGCAGGATTCTGCAAAACCGATAATGTGTGGACCAGATCACTACTCTACGCATCATTGTTGAGCAATCGCTAGAATGGAATTCACCACTCGTGGTCAACTTCATTGATTATGAAAAGGCGTTTGACAGTGTGGACAGGGAATCTATGTGGAAACTCATGCGACATTATGGAATACCTGACAAAATCACCAAGCTTGTAAAGGCCACCTATGATGGAACAATTCTCAGAACCATTGCAGGTACAGACAGGAGTGCGACGAGGATGCTTGCTCTCATTTTTTCTCTTCACATTGGCAATTGACTGGGTCATGAAAGAAGCGATCCCTTGGCAGCAGCTAAACGACTTGGACTTCGCCGATAATCTTGCACTGCTCTCTCACACACATGTTCAGAAACAAGAAACAAACAAGGAATTCAACAGGCTATCAAGGAGTGTTGGCCTATGTACATGTATACATCCAGACAGGTCGAAAAAGTGAAACTAGGAAAAGTTTCAAGCCCTGCTGTGACAGTGGAAGACACTCAACTGGAAGAAGTGGACTCCTTTGCCTACATTGGAAGTGTCATCGATGGTAACGGTGGAACTGAGGCAGGTGTTAAAGCAAGAACCGCCTAGGCAATATCAGCATTCGATCAATTATCAAAAGTCTGGAAAGCAATCAACATCTCACTACGCACCAAGATTCGACTTTTTAACCCTATCCGTACGCCCTGGGGTCATTTTGTAACCTCAGGGTTGTATTCTTCACATTTTAGAATACTTCTAGTGCGAAGATTTCTTTGAAACTCAGTATTTCTAAGAAAATCTTTTCGTCAGACTGCTATGCAAAGCGTACGGATCGAATTAACGAGTCATCTTCCTCTTTGGAAAGTGGTGGCATAGAGTTCCCCACGTCGTATGGATACGATAGTAACACACGACGTCAAGCCTGTGCTCCTTTACTGCTGCAAAACTTGGAAGACAACAAAGACAGTACTGAATAAAGTCCAGACTTTCATCAACAGAACAATATATGAGGAGTATTCTAAGAATTAAGTGGCAGGATAGAGTGGGAAATGAAGAGCTGTGGGGAAAGGACAGGACAAAAGGATATAGAAGTGGAGATAGGACTATGAAAGTGGCGATGGATGGGGAACACCTTAAGCAAGTCCAGCGGACAAGAGAGAGATGAAGCTCACTTGGAGCAAGCTTGGAAGATGGCACAGGACAGAGACAAATGGAAGGGGTTTGTTTGTGGCCTATACCCTGCCATGGGTAAAAGACATTGATGATGATGATTTGATATTTAATATATGTCAATTCCACTAATGCTGATGTACCTAAATATACCCGCCTGCACACTTTTACGTTTCTTTGATTTCGCACAATTTTGCCAAGCCCGGTTTTATAAAGTCAATTTTGAGTGACCATATCTCGAGCGTCTCTTAACATAGATGAAATATTAATAAGTCAGAAGATGCAGAATTTATTCAGCTTTAAATTGGTATGCGCATGAGTAAGTAGTGCAAGACTATATAGCACGATGATTGGGTGATTACATTTTCAAGTTTCGTTTGGACTATATAATAACTACTTAGGCCAAGTTGTGCAAAACAATTTAAAATCTTAACTACCTACGAGAATCGCCCACTTTGGAAGACGGCATTTTTTTCTAGGCAAATGCTACAATGACATTTTTATTAGCTGTTCCTCTCATTTTGTTGACTCACGATATCCCTTTATAGAAACGACTCATTAAGTGAGCTTTTTATTTAAACCAATGGTTTGCAACTTTCAACATTTAAGTGGTGTCGGTAACCTAGTGGTTGGGCTACACGACTCGTAATCGTAAGATTGCGAGTTTGGGGGGTTTGAGCGTTGTGTCCTTGGAAAACGCACTTTACACAAAATTCCTATTTGTGGTCCTTTCGAAGATGGACGTTAAACTTGGAGGTCCCGCCTCTTAAATAACCTTATAGTGTTGATAGGGACTCTAAACTTATTCAATTTTCATCAATTATTTTAACCACATTTATCATTGATATTTCTTGTCAAGAACGTTTCAATGGAATTCTGTGTACACGATTCTTACTCCCCTCCTGACCCTCCTTCCCTGACCCCTGATTCGCCCTCCCCCCCATTTCCATTCTCTCTTTCGGAAAACATCGGCCTACAGCAGAGCACCTAATTAGGGAACCTAGACAAATGGGTAACAGGGAAAGATCATGGAAACATAGCTTTTGTAAGAGCATCTGAGCAAAGGAACGAACGGAAAACCAGGATCGCCTATGTCTGTCGCAGATCTGGCACTGGAGGATGATGATGATGATGATGATGATGATGATGATG